GGAGGGGGCGGAGTCGGGGGCAGGGGGGGGGCGCGAGCACTTCCGGGCTCGAGGCTCGGGGCATTTCCTTGTTTGTCCGGTTGTCCCGACCGCATGTCGGTCGGGACGCGGGACAAACAAGGAAATATCGGGACGGTCCCGATAAAATCGGGACGTCTGGTCACCCTATGCAAAACACACTGCACAACAATAAATGTCAAATCAATTTAAAGGCTAATCACTAGTAGCAGGTCCATTTTCAAAGGTGCAGAATTGCCTCCACCCACAGTAGTTTCATGAGCCATCTACTAAAATGGTATGCTGAAGAAATATGTTGGATAGAGCGTTTCTTAAAAACAGATCAACTTCTGAAAGTTAGAAACATGTGGGGCTCCCACATCAAAGAGCAACATCTAAAATGGTAACACAGCTTGGCTTACTGTTACAAGTGAAGTGATAGTTAAAGGATGTTCTGTCCCATCTCGTGGCACCAAGACCACTTAGAGATTAATGCATTTACTCTCTCTTAGCCTTATCTAAGAGCCACATGGCTTCTAGCTCATGCATTTAGCTCCAGAGGCCCCAGGTTCGATCCCGCCTGCCCATGACCAGGGTCTGTTGGTGTTACAAGTGGGGGCTCATCCGGGATTTCAACTGGGAAGTCTCTGAAGCTCAGGACACGCTTCCTCAGTAGGTATGGAACCCACACACCTCCTGCGTGTGGTGTTCTGTCCCATCTAGTGGCACTGAGACCACTTAGAGATTAATGAGTTTGCTCTACAGCCTTAGCTAGGAGCCATATGGCTTTTAGCTCATGCATTTAGTTCCAGAGGCCCCAGGTTCGATCCTGCCCGCCGACGACCAGGGTCTGTCAGTGTTACGTAAGTCAATGGAAAGCTTTCATCTAACTTCAGTGGGATTTGGATCATGCCCATAATTGAAGAGCCTACTATGGCTAAGAGATAAGGTTCAGATACTCTCATAATGTCAGCCATATAAATAGGTAAGTTAGACAGAGTGTAATAATCAAGTACACAACAAATTATTTTACAATTATATAATGACAGGATCCATCACTACCAAAAACGTTTTGTTTTACTCATTCACCAAATAGAGAAAAAGTGCAGGGTTAAGTATAAAACATACCTTTAGGTGACAATGAGGTTCTAGATAAATTTAAATGTTTCAGTCCCTTCGGGAGTTTGGCAAACTGGATACTTAGAGAGGACACACCTGTTTGGGGGGGGGGGCGGGGGGGGAGGGGGAGGAGAGAAAAAGAGCATAAAAGTTTGTAGCTTTTCTGACGAGAGTGGCTTTCAGGATTCTGAACCACAGCTAAAATCTGAGACCACACAGTGAAAGTAAACGGAGTGTAGGCTGTTCAACTCCTCACATATACAATTCAGTTTCTTCCAGGGTTGGCCCAAAGATGTATACAACAACCACCTCCTTTTTATTTTAACATGCTTAAAGCTATGCAGTGCGTGCTTAAGTTTTTGAGGGCCAAGGGTCAAAGAGAAGGTAACGTGCCAGGATGTCAGCAGATGGATAGTTTGAGAGCTTTATGGTTCCGCCACAGGAAAACGATAATGAAGCTAAATACAACAGTAGTGAATGTGCAGCTTTCCAAGTAATAAAAATCTCTTTGGGTCTATTAGAAAAAAAGGTCAAGGTTCAATGGAGTTTAGCTAACCTTGACCTCTCTTCCTAACTGAGTCAAACCCTTTCTTCATTAGATAAACAGGCAAAGGCGTTGCTGAAAAAGGACTGGAGTATTTTGTACAGCTGAACTAGTAGTGCAGAGCAGGATGAGTTTTTTGTATAAAATAAATTCTGATGCAGGTAACGTAGCAGAGAACTTGCTCTAGGAATCTGAAGCCTCCATTCTAGTCATAATGGTCACTTATCTCATTTAATTAGACTGAAATATACACTGGCCTTTATACAGTCTCAAAAATCACATAATGGACCATTTTCCCGAATAAAAAAAGAATTAGGGTTCTGGTACCAACTACATTACTCAGCACCATTTTGCTGAAAGAAAAAACGCAAAAAACAATTTCTCACTTTAACTGAGGTTCTGCATTCCATAAATTTATTTCCCATTTTAAAATGGGTGATGGAATATTTAAGGAGACACCTGCTCAGTAACGATCGAGGTAATTTATACAATATTCATTACCAGAATAAATCTATCAACAAGTAAATTGCAGCAATGCGATGAGGTGTGAAATACACTTTTCTGTACCAAATCACAGGTTATAATCCAGGTAAGCTTCCCTTGGGGGAACATACATTTCTTTAAAAAGAATAAACTTGCCTCTTGTGCCAAAACCCAAAACAGATAATTTAAAAAAAAAGCTAATCCTGACATTCTTACTTCAATGGACATATAAATATAGAAAAAATATTTCTCATATTCTTTTATCTATCTATCTTAAACACCTAAGTGGTTATACTTCAGACATTTGTGGAGTTTTTGTTTCAAGGTCTTTTTGTTGTTTGTAAAAGTGTGGTTGGCATGTATATTGCCGATACATGTAGCTTCCACAGACTGTCCAAAACTCCAGGCCATATTTTGTATATATGGCCAAGTTGTTGCTATGAAGATGCATTACTTTGTCTACTGTAAAAATACAATAGTAACTGGATGTATTCACCAACTTATTGCAAGAACGAGTCAGGTTATCTTATGAGAATATGCAAGTAACTGCACTTCACCTTTGTAGGAATTTATTGTTAGAGAAAACAAGGTGAAAAATATCTGGGATTATATTTAACAAACATTTGCTTCTGGAGAAATTTCAAGGAAGCACCAGTTGACAGTGTTTTAAACATTTTATTAACTAGTGAAATTTATTTTACATTTCCTTCTATTTTTGCTTGAAAAAGGTGGTTATTTTTGTATGGATAAGGTGTCTATCACAGGGCTTCTAAGCAATGTACCATAGACTCAATACACCACACTAAGATCAGGAATAAAAATCAACCCCAACTGAAAGCAGAAGCAAAATATTTCACTTGACATAAAAACCCATGTAAAGAATCTCACAAACTTTGCAAAAAACTTTAAAGATGATGCAGGTATAATTTTGGACCTGCTAACCCTGGGTCAGATTTAATTTTAGTGACGATTGGAGTGGGATCCTTGATACATTTTCTTTCCTAACTACACTTTACAAATCTCTGCAGCTCCACTGAAGTAAGAGACTCAAGTATTAAACTTTTTTAAGCTACTGCCTCAGGATTTTATATTCTCTGGCAGGTCCTCTCCACTTCTTGGTTGGAGCTGGTTCTCTGCAGGAGGCTTAAAAGCCAAATATGATTTTGATGTCAAAAGGGCAGAGAAAAGGAGGGAAGGCAGTACGGGGAGAGTAAATACTGTTCTGTTGCACCTGGGCTATTTATTGGAGAGTAGCAAATATCCTTTCCCCTTCTCTCACACTATAGCCAACAAAGTCTCTAATCCAGTCAGCACCACCCACATTAGCTGCTGAGATCTTATAGCAGGGGTGGGCAAACTACAGTCTGTGGGCCAGAGCCATTTTAAGCCAGCCCACAAGCTTCCACTGGGGAGCAAGGTCTGGGGCTCAACCCCGCTCCGGTGCTCTGGCTGGGGCGCTGGGTCGGGGGCCACAGCACGCGGCTCAGCCCTGCTCTGGCCGGGCGCTCCGGCTCCTATGCGCTCCAATGGCCCCCTCCCGCACTCCAATGGGCCACCTGGCTGTGCCGCTGCATAGAAGCTGGAGAAGGGACATGCCACTGCTTCTGGGAGCCACCTGAGGTAAGCGCAGCTCTGAACTTGCACCCCGAGCCTCTCCCCATGCCCCAATCCCCTGCCCCAGCTCTGATCCCCCTCCCGCTCTCCAAATCCCTCGATCTCAGCCCGGAGCACCCTCCTGTACCCCAAACCTCTCATCCCCAGAGCCTGCAACCCCAGCCAGAACCTGCACCCCTGCCCTAGCCCTGATCCCCCTCCCGCCCTCCGAACCTCTCGGCCCCAGCCCAGAGCATCCTCCCCTACATCCCAAACTCTTCATCCCCAGCCCCACCCCAGAGTCCGCACCCCCAACCAGAGTCCTCACCCCCTCCCACACTCCAACCCCAATTTTATGAGCATTCATGGCCCGCCGTACAATTTCTATTCCCCGATGTGGCCCTCAGGCCAAAAAGTTTGCTGGCAACATACAACAAAACTGGTGTCAGTTCCAGTAACAGAGCAGGAGAGAAAGACCAAGGCCTAGTCTTCACTTACCGGCTGGTCCGGCGGCACGCCATCGATGTTCTGGGATCGATTTATCGCGTCTGGTTAAGACGCGATAAATCGATCCCGGAAGTGCTCACAGTCGGCGCCGGTACTCCAGCTCGCCGAGAGGAGTACGCGGCATCGACGGGGGGAGACTTCCTGCCGCGTCTGGACCGCGGTAAGTTCGGACTAAGGTACTTCGAATTCAGCTACGTTATTAACGTAGCTGAATTTGCGTACCTTAGTCCGATTTGGGGATTTAGTGGGGACCAGGCCCAAGCTGCAACCAGGAATACAAGGAGAGCTTAATAAAAAGACAAAGTGCAGAGATGTTTTGGAACATTAAGGTGTTTAAAGGAAACCAAGGGTGAAATCCTGGCCCCATTCAAGCCAGAAAGGCCAGGATTTCATCTCTAGACTGCTAATACACTCCATAGGTACCTCACAAAATCTAACAGTGCAGTGAAGGGAATCCAAGCATGATTTAACACATTGTTCACAGTACAAAGCCATTACACTCAGCACTGTTTTTTTTTTAACAGAGACTAATTGTTAAATCTCAAGTAAACAAAATAATCTTTTGGCATTATCTGCACACAAACACCTGTTCTGATCTTCTATTCGAGTAATCATAATCATTACTCGTTCCCTCCCTTATCATTCACATAACTGTAAACTACTACTAGTATTGAATACTCTGATTGTTACATAATAACCGGGGTAAACTCCCAGTTCCTGTTGATGTGACAAGTTAAAAACAGAGATGTTTTCCATATTCCTTATCTGTAATTAACTATGATTTTGCATACATCTTCCTTACGACAAAGTCATATTGTTCCCTCCATTCGCACACACAATCTCTAGTACAATTTGCACACACAAGATACCAGAACCCCTGAATTCCTGCTTAGGTCTTATTTTGAATTTAATGAAATGCAACATTTGCTTACTGAAATTATATTTAATTTCTCTGCAATTTAAAATAGACAAGTAACTTATTTAATTTCTGCATTTTTAGGAAAATTAAACTTTTAACTGAATGGTCAGCTGAAAAGATTTAACTAAGAAACTAGTCAAAATCCAAGTTTGTATGTTCATATTTAACTATTGTTTTGCCTAAATTTTCTCCTGTATGTCATTACTTCTGTCTGTTTTGAACTGTTCTCTTTGTAGCATGTGAAATACCCAGCCTGACTTATAGACAAAAGATCTTCCATTATATCAAGTCTGCTTATGCTTTTGTTTTTTTAATAAGAAAGAAACACAGTGAGCTTTCCTTTTAACCTACCTAAATCCAATTCTTAAAAAACAAAAGCAACAACTTGTATAAAATGTGATAGCCTTTTTCCTCCTCATGACTATTTATTGTAAAGAAGTTAGTGTGGTTACTACAAAGAGTTTTGGCTAGTCAAAAAAGGCTTTTCAAATTATATGGAAATGTTCACGAAAAATATTCCTGTGGTTTGAAATTCTGATTTCTCAACTAAACAATTTGAAACAAAAAATGGTGTTGACTCATTCTGAAACAAACTGAGTGGAATCTAACTAAAACACTTTCAAATTTGTGGGGTGAGCACCACACACACCTTTCCCACTGTATAGAGAAAGGGAGAGATGGGGAGACTACCCACCCCCATTCATCTTCCAGTGACAAGTGAACATTTTTTGTTTTGAATTGTTTCCTCAAACACAATATGAAACAAAAGGTTTTACAGAATAGAATTCCTATTTTTCAAGCAGCCCTATAAATGATGTATTAAGGGTGTGATCGTGAGAATGCCCTGTGCATGGAATGCTTAAGTGAAGTAAATGGGAAATCCATAAGCACGGTGCTTCCAGGATCAAGCTTAGACTGAAAATTTTATTTTAATTTAAAAATACAATGTTCAGTTTTTAGGGTGGAAAGAGAAGAAAGAAGGGATGGGCGTGACTTGAGTCTAAACTGAAATCACTCAGAAATTAAGGCCTAGATTCAGCAAAGCTGAATCTTTAAGCATGTGCTTGTCTCTCATTGAAGTCAACGGGATCGTTTTGCTGAAAAGGGACAGACTTACATAGATACTCAGTGTAAGGGCTGAACTGACTGGGGTGAACGGTTTACAATATTGAGCACTAGAAGGGAGCTCAAAAACTGACAGCTTCAATGCACTTAGAAATATTTATATAATCACAGATGAATTAAAGAGGTAGTTCTATCTGCTAGAAAACATCTGGAATACATAACCCAAGGAACAAAGTTGTGTGTCACTCTCAGATGGTCCTTAAACCAATTCTATTACTTTTTAAAATATAGTATTTGAAACCCTTTCTTCTCTCTCCACCCCAGGCACAGTGTTTCTCCACTGTCAGTTAGCTCAAAAGTGATCTCTGTGAAGCCAAACAAGCCCAACTTTAATTAAATTCATGGTTACACTAAAACCGTTCAACACCTATTGGTAAATCTCAAACTAATAGACATTTGCAAACTAAAAAAAGAAAAGCAATTCGCAGTGACCTATGAGCAACAGATATTTACGATGCAATTACACCAAGCACAATGCTCTGTTATTCAGGCAAAGGGGAATGAAGTAGCACTAATCCTCTTATTTTGACTGTATAAAAGGAAAAATGTAAATGTTATAGTACCTCTGTCCTCAAGAGGGTTGCTAGCAAGGTTAATTGTATGAAGTCCTGAGTTGGGATTATGGGCTAGGGCATTGGCCAGTTTCTGTGCAAAATCTCTGCAAGAAAATAAAACAAAAGATGATGATTATATTATCTCCTGCATTAACACCATATTCAGAGGCTTAAAATGACCCAATTACTGGAAAGAAAGGAAATGGCCAAATTTGCCAGTTGCAGACATGTACATATTTCCCTTAGTTTAGTCACATCTATTTGCACAATTTGTTGTTTTTCAACAGCAATCTTTTATTTATACATTATCCAATATCACACCAAAGAATGCCCATCCATAGCTCTGAGTGCCTTTGAGATTATATATATATTATCAAAAAAAAACAACACAGCAAAATAGGAGTTCTAAAACAAACTGTCCAAAGCAGCCCAATTTCTCCCTCTGACCACATCATTTGATCATCAGTCATGTGATAAGTACAGTTTAATCACTAGCATGCTTTCCCAGAACTCCTGCCCTCATGTGCATCGGTTCTCCATTGTACCTGCTCAAACAAAGAGGCTTTGCAGCATATCCAGAAGGTCAACAAACAGGGACTATTTCTGACCTTGTGGCATAGGTGCAGGGGGTGCTGTAGCACTCCGTAGCTTGAAGTGGTTTCCATTATATACCAGGGTTTACAGTTTGGTTCAATGGCTCTCAGCACCCCCACTATACAAATTATTCCAGCATCTCTGCCTTCTGGGAGAGGAGGGGAGATAGAATTCCAGAAGAAAGGGGCCCTTATGGACAACACTCTGCTCACTCTCTTTTATAATCAGGAGGGTCAAGCTCAGGGGCCTTTGCTGATCACAACTGTGGCAAAATAGCCCAGGAAGGATCTAAGCTGTTTAGGTCTCTGCAGGTCTAAACAAACCCTCTAGACTCCACCCTGAAACCAATAGGCAGCTTTTAACCACTAACTCTTGGTTCAATCTGCTCTCTTTTCCTTACAATAGAAAGCTCTTATTTCCTGTAACCAAGAATGAGAGACAACATAGCTAAATACCTCATTAATTTTGTCAAAAGACAAGAACTCACTTAAGGGCAAATCCTGCCTACAGAGCACAACCTAAGTGATTGTTCTGTCCACAAGGGGGTACATAAGAACCAATAGAGCAGGAATCCTCTCTCTGGATATGGAGTAGCAGCGGAGCCCTGAAACTGCAGTCACCTCAACAGTGTATGGCCAATGATGGTCATGTGCACGTTTGAAACAGTGAAGTCCTGAGAGGCTTTTTTTTTTTTTTTTTTTTTAATTATTGGGGAGAAATGAACAAAGCGGATGTCAATAGGGAGCAAGTAACCACACCCAACAGTTTATCGCAGGCAAGACATGATCATGGGCTGACCCAAGACAGTTTCATCCTCAAAGGCAGGTGATATTTGAGCACAGACACTCACTAAGGAGAAGGTGCTGTGTATTGGTAGGGCCTATACTGTTTTGAGCTTTAACAACTTTTTACAACTAATTTCTTTCTTCATTCTTCTCTTATCCCTTAGCCACTATTATCACCACAACATTTTTGTCTGTCTCGGGGCTTGATTCAACACTCCACCCTAATTTATGTCCCTTCCTCATACTGCCATACCCACAGACCAAAATTTCCTAACATACCCCTCCTTCCCTTTAGTGATGGATGGGTGGCACTGGCCAGGAAACCATCCAGCCAACTCTGCCAGATTTCTGCCAGCAGACAGGTCCCCAAGCACAAGGGTTATGCTCCTGTGGCTATCTTCTGCCACTTTAAGGTGACAAGCCTTAGCAAACCAGAGAATCCAGTCCTCTGATTATTATATGCACCCCATTCTTCCAATGTGGCCTACTTAGTTAGTGTACCTTATTTCAGCCAACTCACTAAGCTTCTACTGCACTGTCCTTACTCGTCATTCTTCCTTTTCAACTAAAAGTCAATATCCTTGCTGGATAAGTTCTGTCCCGATTACCCATCTAAATAGTTATCAAAATGCCACTTTCTGCTTTACATAGGGAAACTTCCCAAGGAACAAAGAGCGATCTCTCCTCATGTTTGTTAGGATTATACAGCAGCAGTTCTCAACCAGGGGTATGAGTATACTTGGAGGTACACAGAGATCTTCCAGGGGGTACCCTCAACTCATCTAGATATTTGCCTAGTTTTACAACAGGCTACATATAAAGCACTAGCAAAGTCAGTACAAACTAAAATTTCATACAATGGCTTGTTTATATTGCTCTATACTGTACACTGAAATGTAAGTACAATATTTTTTTCCATTTGATTTATTTTATAATTCTATGGTAAAAATGAAAAAGTAAACAATTTTTCAGGAATAGTGTGCTGTGACACTTGTATTTTTATGTCTGATTTTGAAAGCAAGTAGTTTTTAAGTGACATGAAACTTGGGGTACACAAGACAAATCAGTCTTCTGAAAGGGGTACAGTAGTCTGGAAAGGTTAAGATCCACTGTCTTACATATTTGGGATAAAATTTTCAAAAGCACATAGAGTGACTTGTGTCTCATTAAAAGCCAATGGGACTTAGGCACTTTTCAAATTTACCCTTAGTAGCATTTCTCAACTCTGACTATGGAAGTGGTCATAACTCCCTAAAAATGCTTTGCCTGTAGCGTATGCCAAGTGAGGATAACCAGTATCAATGGGATGAATACATTTCTTCCCAGCAAATAGACATTATAACCTGCAGAACTGAGAAATACACCTTTACAGGGACAGATAGCTAATGCTGATCACAGCAGAGAGAGACAAGGTCAACGTGCCAAGTACTCTGAATGTATATGATGCCACAAAATCAAAAGTCTCAGGGATGATTGTCAGTCAAGCTCTATTAAAGTCAAAACCAGACCTATATATGACAAGTTAATGTAGGCAACGTGCCAGGACCTTATAATCGTATCAAATTGTTTTTACTGTGTAAAATGACACAAAATATGAAGAAATTAATGATACAGTCAGTTACTTGTTACATTTTGAATGATGGACATTAAGGCACTGAACTGGGGATCAGGAGATGTGTTTAATTCCAACCTCTACCACAAACTTGGAGTGACCTGGGGAAAGTCACTTACTCCCTAGTGCTTATGTTTCCTATTTGTAAAATGAGGATAATATTTCCTTTTTCCCACCCTTCTGGTTTGTCTGTTTAGATTAATAATTCATTGGAGCAAGGACTGTGTCTTACTATCTGAATATACAACTCCTAGCACAATGGGGGGTTAGGGCAGCTATACGCCACTCCAACTCTAATATGGAGCACACAATGTACTTCTAAAGGGCCACAGCAAATCCTAGTTGACAAGTTTAACTTTTGGGCTAATTCCTAGAGATTGTAAGAATTTGCTGCCTCTCACAAGAAATGGAGGCGGTTAAGGTACTAAAGTAGTGCTGGAGCATTTAAGCGTGAAATCGCATTATTTCTAAATGTCTTCATTTTTTATGACTTCTGTAAGAGGTTTATTTTTTGTTTGCTTTTTAAGTACCACAAGTAAAAGTACAGAGAAGTATATTTTCTAGTTTGAATATTAGGATATATTCATTCTATCTTAACAGACAGTGTCCACCACCAACATAAAAAAATCCATACTGCAATCTGTTGTCCAACAGGATTCCTTATTATAGTGAAGAAACCGAACATAGTGTTTTCTAAAAGAGCATCAAGTTTTTCATATCAATGTTGGCAACTAAATTTTGAGAGGAAATCATGAGTTATTTAAGGTTCAAATGACTTCTAAAACTGTCTGTTCTGCACAGCTACCAGCTGTTCAGCCAGCTTCCTCGTTTGTAAAGGAACAAATAAGTATAAGTAACAACCTCATTTTCACAGGTGCTAACCCATGTAGCCCCCAGAGACTCCAGTGCAGTTTATGAACACTTACAACCTCTGAAAAATATGACCATGAGCTCTTTGGAACAGGGTGGTAATTTTTGTATTAGCTATTTTACCAGTTCTATCACACAGTCTACTTTCTATGGTCCTATGGGTAAATCATAACTAATGTAATTTTTTTTAAAAAATTACTTACGTTCTAAGCCCGGCATTCTCTAATACCAATTCTTCCAATCGATTGGATCTACTCACCACTCTCAGGATCTGCTCACAGACATCAGTGGACTGCCATGAAAACGATATAACAATATTACTAAAGCAAAAACATTCTTACATCACCGAAAATATACAGCTGTAAGCTAGGAATAGCCTCACGTAATGAAGCCTTGGCCATAACTGGATCTCCTAGTCACCACAATACAAAAAATTATAATAGTAGGAGAAGCCTCCAAAACCCAGTAAGAGGATGTAAGATAGCAAAATTCATTTGGGAAAGATTCTAAGTGGGAAATTGGTATGTGAGAGGCAAACTAACAGAGACTCACTCAAGGTGTAGGCCAACAAAACAGGACAAAATCTTATTTCTGACAGAAAAACTGTGTGATTAATAATATTACTTATTTAAAAACTTTGTGTCCATGATAATCTTTTACAGAACAGACATAATTAATAAGCCTAAACTAGAATGACCACAAAACCAGAAACAGGAGTATCACAATGCAGACCCACAAGGGACACATTCTGGCTGCAGGCACTCCATGAAAGAGCTTTGTGGTTGGGGAGTGTGCTCCAGGTATTTTAATGTGGATCCTGCTAACCCACACCGAGCCATTACACACCCCACCATGTTTACATTAGTCATATTTTGTAATAAGTAATTTGCATGGGCAGCTGTGGGATCCACGATGAGCCATAACATTAGAGTAAAATAAAGCTGCTTTTATGCTATTAATTTGCTAATGTTGGAGAGGATAAAGGTGAAGAGAGAAATTTTGTAGTTTTAAATTTTTACTTCAGCTGTGATCCCAAGATCAATATACAACAAATAATACTATCGCCTCACTTTTATTTTATTCTTTGTTTTGCTTTTGAACTCTGGTCCCCCAACACACAAAATCAAGGTTCCATTAGAGGTCTGAAGCTGAGCTTTTGTCATGACCATGACAGCTAAGATGATTTTGCTCAGGCCAATAAATCATTCCCCATTAAAAGTGCCCCCACGACACTTGTATTGGGGTCTGAGAGTCTACCTGGTGTCTGACCCCACAGTTCAATCTATTTCTAAAGCTAAATTTCTTAGCCTTTTAGCTTTTCAGTCTAGTTCTCAACTCATTTAAAAAAAAAAAAACAACTCTACAACACAGAGGGGAAAAAAATCTACTTTCAGTCCTCCTTTTACATTATGCAGTTTGTACTGGTGTTTTAAGGACTGTCACTTCTCTATCACCACAGGCATTGATCTGCACTCTTATATTTTACAAAAAGAACAGGAGTACTTGTGGCACCTTACGTAGACTAACAATAGTCTCTAAGGTGCCAC